AAAAAAAAGGATTAGTTGGTAGTTGCCGACACTACCAACATTAATTGTTTCAATTGACACAATTATCAATTATAAAAGGAGGGTTGGGTTATCAATTTCTATAAGATAGAAATCAGTTTTCTTTCAATACGTCCGAAAGAAATAATAAGGAAAAATTCACGGCCTTTTGGAAGATATCTAAATCCCAAATTAAATTTTAAGTTATAAAGGGATCAAGTTCTAAAGAGATCAATCAACATGAATTCATCAGGTATGCTTCCGCTATTCAATTATGATTCTCAATTATTCAATATGAATGCTCCTGAGATTAATCGATTTATATCGAATAAAGTTATATCCAAACAATTGGTATCAGAGCTAATTCATCTTGAATATTTGGGAATAGTTGGGCTTTTGCTCTCGGATTTATTTCCGAATTATTGAAAGATGATAATTGATATAAGCAATTCATGTCTATGGTCCTGTGGATAAATTTAATTTGCCTCGAGTGTGTCAAGTAGTTGTATAAACTATTGGTTGATGCTTGATACATGATTTACGGATTCATCATAGATATAAAACATCTTGTTGCAAATTTTCTTGTTTGAAGTTTGAACAATTTGTGTCAAGTTTTCATTGGTTGATTCGCAACATTTACATCAATTATTGTTTAAGAAGTATGATTCATTATTGTGATGATACTTTGAACAGACTTTCACATGGGTTTAGATGTGAAATATAAAGTTAATTGATTAAGAAATACCACTTGCAGTTGAGGTTTAATATTAAATATGAAATGAACATCATTTGGATTGTTGATGTACATAATATACGCAAGGTTTAAATTTCTTAAATTAATTAACATCAGGTGTTGTCTTTTGACAATTAAGTTGAGTTTGATTATTAAATCATAAATAACAACTGATTTAATATCCATTTAAAGTTACATGGCCGATATTGTAATAAATATTTGGCATTACGTGTATAATTTTAAATGGATTGATTGAAACAAAATGTTGCCAAAGTGACCTCTTTTGTGCAGATTGATTCATTTAAATATTAAAAATTATTGTATTTTTTTAATTCATGTGTGTGTTATTTAACCTAAAGGTGAAATGACACATGGCCGAATTGCAAACATATCTGTGATAATAAATCTGTGACAATTATACGGTTTTCATGTGAATAATAATTCTATCCAAAGATAGCTTTATTATTTGACAGAATTTATTGTCAAGATTTGATTATTACAACAAGAGTACCGCTTACAGTTAATATTACTATCCAAAGATTTGATATTAATGTTGTGTTTGGTATCTTGCTATGGGTTTTAAACCATATTTGGTTTAAATAATTAATTATGGATAATAATGTGAGTATCTCTGTTTATTATTCTCATCAGGTTCTTCATCTATGGTATCTACCAACTATCCTGTCCCTACTTTATCTGGGGATAACTTTAAGAACTGGAAAGAATCAATTTTGATTCATTTGGGCTGTATGGATCTAGACTTGGCATTAAGGATAGACCAACCTGCTTCTCTTACGGAGAAAAGCACTATTGAGGAAAAACAGTGTTTTGAGAAGTGGGAAAGGTCTAATCGCCTAAGTCTTATGATCATAAAGAAAAGCATACCAGAAATCTTTCGAGGAACGATATCTGATGATATCACTTTGGCTAAAGAGTTCCTTGTCGAGATTGAAAAGCGCTTTACCAAAAGCGATAAGGCGGAAATGAGTACTCTTTTAAAGACACTCATTACCATGAGGTATCTCGGCAAAGGTAACATAAGGGAGTACATCCTCAAGATGTCCAATATTGCTTCTAAGTTGAGGGCACTAAAGTTAGACCTTTCGGAGGACATGCTTGTCCTATTGGTCTTGCTCTCTCTTCCTACTCAATACGATCAGTTTAAGGTCAGTTATAACTGCCAAAAGGAGAAGTGGACTCTTAATGAGCTCATTTCTCACTGTGTTGAGGAAGAAGAAAGAATGAAGCATAAAAAGGCTGAGGAGGTACATATGGTTGGTACCTCGAAAGATAATGGTGGCTTTAAAAGAAAACATAAGGCCGTTAAGGTTGAGACTGCTAAAGGTCCAGATCAAAAGGTTAAACCGGAGGAGATTTTATGCTTCTTTTGTAAGAAATCTGGACACCTAAAGAAAGATTGTGCTAAGTATTCCGCCTGGCGCGTGAAGAAAGGTATATTCTTTAATTTGGTTTGTTCTGAAGTTAATTTAGCTTCAGTACCTAGAAACACTTGGTGGTTAGACTTCGGTTCAACGTACTAACATCAGTGTTTCAGTGCAGGGTTGCCTGAGCCACCGAGAACCAACTGATGCTGAAAGACGCATTTATTTTGGAAATGGTGAATCGGTGGATGTGGAAGCTGTGGGCATATTTAAATTATTATTAAGTACTGGACATTTTGTGGAATTGAAAGACACTTTTGTTATATCGTCTTTTAGACGGAATTTGGTTTCTGTTTCTTATTTGGACAAATCTGGTTATTATTGTTCATTTGGAAACAATAAGGTTGTATTGTCTTTTAATTCTAATGTGGTTGGTTTTGGTACTTATATGAAAAATGATAATTTATATATGTTAAATACTATAACTTCCTATAATGAAACCCTCAATGTGGAATCAAAAGGTACTAAAAGAAAATTAAATGAATCAAGTTTGCTATGGCATAAACGTTTGGGTCATATTTCGAGAAATGAGTTGAAAGACTCATTAAGGATGGAATTCTTGATTCTATTAATTTCTCGGATTTTGATGTTTGTGTCAATTGCATTAAAGGTAAACAAACCAAAGTAAAGAGGATAGGTGCTTATCGAGCTACGGAAGTCTTAGAGTTGATACATACGGATATTTGTGGGCCTTTTCCTACACCTTCGTGGAATGGTCAACAATATTTTGTATTATTCATAGACGATTATTCTCGATATTGTTATCTATACCTCATATGGGAAAAATCTGAGGCCTTGGACATGTTCAAAGCATTTAAGGCTGAAGTTGAAAATCAACTCAGCAAACGCATTAAGATCGTCAGATCTGACCGTGGAGGTGAATATTACGGCAGAAATG